AGTGATAGAACAAATGTGAATCAGTTATTGTCTAAGTATAGGAAATAGAATGAAAACCCTGGCTTCATATGTTATTTACATACCTTCCTTTACTGTACTCTGAGGGTATTCACTAACAAGAGGGTAATGTTTTCACACCTACTTGGAGAACTAAGAGCATCTCAATGAACCTTCCTTTCTTTTTATGAATTTCAATTGGTTATATTACAGCTCAAGGAGGAAAGGAACCTTGACTTAATCTTTGTCCCAGCACCTAACACATCTATAATTTAGTCATGGTAATGTACTCGAACAGGAACACTACCCCTTGAATATCAAAAATTTTGCCACAATGAAAGGGAAGGACTGTCTAAGTCAAGTTAAAATATGTATGTGAGGCTGAAGATGGGGGGCGGGCGGGACATCAAGGATTAACTTTCTTAGGAATTTGAGGACAATTACCTGTCCTACAGTTCACAACAGAAGAGTAAAACAGAAGAGTAGTAATAAGAGGCATTAGCCTAAAGAATAGCAAACTGTTAGCAGCTTTTGATTGGAAAAAATAAAATAAAATGTTTAAGATACAAACAAGGCTTTTGGAGAAAGAAAAGATTTAACAATGGAAGACCAAGTTTAAAAAAGTTTTAAGGTAAGTGTGTGAAATATTGCTGATAAAGCATATGTCCTGCCAATAATAGATGAGTAGGATAATTTTCAAATCTGAAGGAATACATTTTCATTGCTGAAACCAAAACTCTCCAAGGCATTTAACAGTTGTCAAAATTAAACTCAAAACTTTTAAAAGCTGAATAGATTTCACATGGTTCAATACTCTACCCTTTCTGAAGAAAACATACATTTTTAGTACATTTTACAAGCTCTTGGTCCCATTGCTGAACTTAAAAAAAGAAAAAGATCTACGTTACAGTTAACCATAACAAATTTCAGAACTATGTCTTTTCAAAAGTTTAAACAACTGAAAACTACATCTTGATAGTATATAATTATCTGCTTTAAAACACATAAAGAGATTAATACCTTATGAAATTAGAATTCTTCTATTTAAAGCAATATTAGAGACTTAAAAATTTTCATGACTGTATTGCAACTTCATCCCCACAAGAAGTATAGGTCTAATCTTTTCTAAAATATCGCAAGAAAAAAAATCAACAATACTACAAGTGAGAATCTGTATGGTTTTCAAATGGAGATAAAATACTTCTTAGAACTGTTCTAAGAACTAAGTTATGTATGTAAACCACTTAGCATGGAGGCTGGAACAAATTAGGCACTGATAAATGGCATTTATTGTGTTTATTCCTATAGAAAGGATGTGAAACAACCCTGTAATAAGGTTAAGTGGCTTAAAAACCAATAAGAGAAATAAAAAAAGGCAGATGGATGGAATCACAGTGAAATTATCTAGACTGGTAAACTCAATGAGGAAAGGAACCTTGAGCAATTTGTCCTTGGAGTTCTAGTGCCTGACACACATAGTAGATGCTTGAAGTGAACACAAAAGTATCTGGAAAACAAACAAACAAAAAAACAGGTAGTATGAGGTTACCTAAAAAATATACCCAGAGTCCAAATATTACTATTCTCCCTAAGCAAGTCACTTTGAAAAAGGAAATAAAATATGTAAGCATTTTTAGACTCATGCACAGAAACTCCCCTCAGACTGGTCTCTTTACTAATGAATAAACCCACTCCCAAATGCTTTTTGATCAACGTGTCCAACATAATGTCTAATACCTGGGATGCCCAAAAAAAAAGTAAGATATTGTGAGAAATGTTTTAAGAAACGTTTTAAGAAATGTTCATCATAATCAGAAGTGTCTGGACGCTGACGGTAACCACTTTGAGCACCTCTTGTAATTGCAGAAGACAAATGTGACTTGTATCCATCTTTTGTTATTGGTATACACTGCGTACTACAATTTTAATAGTTTTTCCCTTTCTTAAAACAGGTACATTTTTTGGCATCCTCTGTATTTGAGAAATAAATTTTAAAAATTAACCTAAATAAATGTGTGCATCCTTAAAGAGGGAATAGTTACCCAAAGCACTGAGGAATCTTTTCCAACTTTCATTCAAGAAGAATCAGATTAACTTAATTCATAGTTCTTCCATTTACTTATATAGGAAAATGAGTTTGAACTTTTATCTACAAGTTGTAAACACACATATTTCACCTTCTGAGTCTGAGTGCATACCCCAGAAAAGAAAGAGGAAAGAGAACCAACTCTCTCAGAAGTAGACAGTACCACTGGAGTACAAAAGGGTGGCTAACCAATCTTATCTACCATGTTTCAGCAGCCACCTGTAGAACCCTTGTTTACAGTACAGTGTGTATTGTTTCTGAAACCTGTCATACCGAAAAATCAAAATTCTCGGTGCAGTGGTCAAGGAACAGCAGAATATGAAAATATGGTCTTATCTTCCCCAATGATAAGAGGGGATCAACAGATTTTTCTTCCTAGTCTTCTCTAAGTTATCACTATTGCACCCCACGCTTATTTGGAAACTGATCAATGTTACAGAAAGCAGAAGCCACACCCTTAATAACTTAACTCTGCACAGCAGATGGTTTCTATGCCAAGTAAAGTGCATTTCCAGAGAGAGGGCTGGAACTACATCTCCTGAGCCTACTTCAAACTAAAATATGTGAACAGTGCAAAGTTACAAATCAAATAACAGCCCAAAAGCAACTGCTGAATGACAGCTGGGGGGAACGACACACTAATTACATCTACCTTTCTAAATGAAATGATAATGTTTTTCAGAAAAATAAAACTCCAAAGCTACCAGTCTACGTTACAGAGTAGTTTACAGAATAACAACAAATAATACACAGAATAAAATTATTCTTAAATTATCATTTGCACATTTGATGCCCTGAAAAGTAGCAAACGCATGAAGCCATTTAGGAGCTACTGTTCAATCACTGACGGCACTTAAATTATTTTAAAATCTAATTTCTGGAAATGTCTGCAGTAGCAATTTAATTGTCCACATTCTAATGAGAAAAAATGTCTAGTCCAAAATCTGAAAACAGACTGAAGATATTCACATAAAATTTTTTAAACTATGACGGAGGAAGGTCATAGGCACCAAGGTGTGTAATATCTGTGACTGGCTGATACAAAAAGATTTCTCAGGAATTGAGGATTGAAAATAATGTTTTATTAAGTATAATCTGACATGATCTGTAAACATAACTTTAATGCTTAGATTTTTTTAAACTACCGTGTAAGTCTCCACTAACAAAGCGAAAGCTTCCGATACAAAGACTTTCACATCCTACAACATACATACACTTTGTAAATTAAGAAATAGATGTAAACACTAAAACTTATCTAAAAGCATGCAAAACACACGATTAGAAACATCAGACTTCTCTATTCACGTTCATGCTCACACCTACTAGTAAAGCTCCTCTGACAAGATTGCTCAATATGCCATTCTGAATCGAGTCTGTAAGACCAATTCTCAAAACCTCCTCAGGAGATGCTTTATTACAGCTCTAGTTGCAATTTCCTGCGGCTCAAGCATCAACGTAGAGAGAAAACAGCTTATGCATAGTTAGAAAGGGAGAAGGGCGAGTGTATAGGGGAGCGCTTCATTCTTTTGTTCGGTGGCAGAAGCTCCAAAAATAAAGGTCCACAGAGCCGTCTGCACCCATCCCCACCCATCACAGCCCTGCAGAGCACTTCGCCCATCCGCTCTGAGACTACCCAGCCCCGAGGTCAGCAGAATCCGTGGTTTACCACGTTCCAAAGGGTGGGCGGGGGAGGCTGTGTGCTGCGTTACAGACAGAAAAAAGGAGACACATATCCTCTGAGGACAGAAGGACAAGGAGATGCATGCGGGTGGGGAGGGTGGGACGCATCACGGAGACAGGGAGGCTAGCAAATTCACCGCGAGAAAGCCTCCGCGAGGCGCACGGCGGGTGCTGCCCGTTCAGAGATGGGGGCAGACAGACGGGCGAGGCTCCGCAGGAGGGGGAGGAGGGCGCTTGCAGGAGACCCGGGAGGGCGTGAGCTCGACAGCTCGGAACCCGGAGCCCCAAGGGCCGAGACAGCCTCAAGGAGACCCGCACCGCGAAGCTGAGACTTACGGTTACTTCCCGGGATGAGAGAAAGGGTCGGTGGGCCCCGCAGGTCTGCAGCGCTGTCTCCGCCGCGGTCACCACTGCCGCTCGCGCCAAGCCGGCGACCTCAGGTGTCCCCCCCCGGCACCCACCCGGGCGGGCGCCCCTTCCTCGCCGGCCCGGGCGCACCCCGGGAGGAGGCTGGTGGGATCACGGGTGCGCGCCGAGGCCCGCGGAAGCGCTGCGTGAGCCCGAGGCGCCCGCCGCGAGGCTTAGACAGGGCGGGCGCCCCCCATCCCTCTCCGGCCGCCGCGCCGCCTGGCTCGGGGAATA